ACACCCTCCCTCATCCCCGGTCTTATTGACTTTGTCTTTACACCGGAAACGGTGTGAGCGGCGAGCGAGTGCGCAGGTTCCCGCGAGTCTGCTTTAACTCCTGTTTTCGTTCGTGGTAATTCGCTGCGTTGCTTCTGCTTGCTGTAACCTTCAGGCAGCTTGCCCAGCTTGCCTCAGTGTCTGTTTCGGCTTGCTTCAGCGTTTGTTACGGCTTGTTGGAGCACGCGGTGCCCATCGTCGAAATCGACGGGGGAACTGTCGTCGTCAAAGGATAAAACTAGGACGCGTCCGTTGATTAATGCCATAGTGTGTCTATCATAATAATGACTGCTTATAGGTTTCTACTGCATGTGTTTGTATGCACGCATTACTTTCAAAATATGCTAGATGTTACTTAGAATATAAAGGAATACATTAAGGTTTTCTAGCATAAGTTGAGAGACGTCGATGAATATAAACAGTGTTGGATACGTTGTGCATGAATTTCCTTTTTAGGCAACAAAAGAAGGCGCCGAAAATTCGGAAGTGCCCGGACAGACTCATTTTATACCCAGACGATGTGGAGGCCATCGAAGTCTCGATGCCCCTAATGGAGGAGTTACGGGTGAGAATTTGGATGAAGCTTTTTTCAACCATTTTTTCGTGTAATTGCAAAACAAAGTCTACTGGCGCAACTGCCGTTATTCTGTGGAAGTTTACGTGAATCGTAGTTCATTGGAGCGAAAGTAGATCCGAGGGGAAAGATGTAGAAACTCTCGCTTAAGTAACAGATATGCATGCCTACAAATATCTCTGGCCCACGAAATGTTTGACATCTTCGCTTTCATTCACAAGAGAAGCGTAGCGCAAAGGTGACAATAGGAAGAAAGGTATCATAAATGGTAATCCTGTTTATAAAAGATGGCCCCGACCTTTCATATTTGTACAAAAGCAGAGCTTATATGAAACTTACTATCAATGATTTAATAAATTTGGTTGGTGAGCATCGATTACCTCAATTCGAAAGGGAACTCTTTATTGACGATAAAACAGTAATAAACAGTGTTTATGGAGTTGAAGAGAAAGCTTGCAACTAAGTGAATCTGAGGAAGTCAACACAACTTTTACAATCGCCGATTTTCACGGGGTCGATTTTCCCTATTTGACTAACAGTGCCATCCGAAATCCGAAGCATCTGGTAAGTAAAGCTATCCTGCCAGATTGTGAGTATTCTTCTTCCCCGACTAAAAGTCTTGACTGTAATGTTTTTCTCCCACGCCCTTAGGAGGACCAGCCAATTGCGTCCTATGGTTTGAACGTTGAAAGTGCCATCATCGAGTCACAGTCCGACGGCACGTCAGTGTGTCCAGGAGGAAATGCAGTATCTCGCACTGTCCTTTTATTTAACGTAAGTTGGCAACATCAACGAGTCAACTGGGCGTACCTTAACTGGGTAACCTGTACTTCATTTTTAGGATTATTCAAGTAACGTTACTCTCGTGCAATCATAATGAATTATTCTGATGGTTTTGTACCTTCATTTAAGTATGTTGTCTGATGAAGACTATTATGCCTGTGGTATTTAAGAATAGGACTCAACTTTGATGTAAATTGTAGTCGATCATGAAGAATTCGGACTGAACTTAGTCTCTAATATTTATGCAATATAATAATAATACATTTTGCGTTTCATATTTTAATCTCAGGGCAGCATCCTTCACCTAAAGCAAATTGATGTATCTGAGGTTACACTGAAATCCAAAGTCATGGATCATTTGCGCGCTCTCCGTGAACTTCAATATGAAAACATCAACCCTTTCATTGGAGTTTATTTGGACAGCACATCCTTTTATCTGGTGTATGAACACTGCAGCAGAGGAAGTCTGCAGGTTGGTCTTGAGCGTCGGTGAAAGTAAAAGATTTCCATAGTAGTCGGCCTCAAAAATATTTATGAGCAACATTAAGGCTTAGTAAAATGAATAAATAGCTAGTTAATTCCAAAGCCTTATGATTAATATGAACATTCTAGAGTGAAGCACACCTTTTTCGTCCCGAACAGACACAAGCTTCTTGTACTTGCCTTCTTTCACAAGTTTGTTTATGACTAGCAACAACCACAGCTTGAGAAATTCGAATCACGAACACCCAGAAAATTTTACCGTAGGCGGTTTCGTTATAAACTTCAACCTACCACACTGAGCGTGTTATATAGGCATATAGGGATTAGCTTTAATCATGCTTGTAATAAAACTAACAACAAAACAGCTTCCCAAATGTTTTTAGTCTGCGGATTTTTCTCCTTTTAGGACGTTCTGGCTCATCCGACTCTTGCTTTGGATGAAGAATTCCGCCTTTTTCTATTGAATGATCTAATCAAGGTATTCATTCTTAATATCGGTGCTCTGATCAAGATTGCGAAACCCTCGAACTTATCCTACATCATGTATTCTTGAAATTAGAGGCCATTTAACAGATATTTTCCCTACGACAATGCTCAGTGTTTTCAGACAAACTTCCGTCTGCAAACCATTTTCGGAAGCTGGTTTTATTATTTAACTTGCGATTTTTCGAACAGCAAATTTTACAATAGAAGAAGGCGCTTTTGGCTGTTCGCATTTTTTGTAGACGACGTCGACAATATGTCATTAAACATTTGATAGTGCAGTGATTGCCACTCTAGACAAGCTATCCATACAAGTAGACCCTAAGGGGATTCTGAAAGGTAGAATCTGTTTGTTCATCATTCACTTAACTAAGACAAACGCGCGCATCGTGAATGGTAACTGCGTTTCAACTGACTTTTAAGATGCAAAACACATAGAGACAACAATTAGCACTGTAATGGGAGGAGTATTGGATGAAATTCCATAGTTTCTTCTACACTAGGATGCGTACTCTGGTATTCATACTAGGGTCAATATCGTTTTTTTAGAATGAGGCACTTTCCAGTCGAGTGGAATCTCCATATCATTGATTTTGCAGACGCCTTTGAGCTCCTTACTGATAAACTGGCTAAGAAATACATCGATAGAAAAGAAAAATGTAAGGCTTGACAGAGAAAATTGATGGCATGTCTCGGATGTTTGTCTATATGCTTGTTAATAGCCGTTATTTTGGGTGGGGTTCATCAAATTACAGCTTTATATGTTTGTTACTTAATTTTATGGCACAACACTTAGCAGTTTGCAAGACATATTTTTCCGACCGAAGCCGTTCTTCTTTTCTCGAAAATAATAAGTTATCTCATGCTTGCACTTACCTCAATTTCATGAACGCAAAACAAAATTGTCTGTTCTCTGAAAAAATATCCTTAAAAAGTTTCTGGTTTCTATTAATGCACTTTTATAGAACAAAACACTCAAAAAGAAGTACTTTCCGTAGCATCTAATAGCGTAAATGGATGTAAACAACCGTTAAATTTGGCCCAATTCCGCCCCTGTTTGCCCCCGGTGTACTGACATAAACTTAACTCTTTTCTTTTAAACAGCATTTTGCGCCTCAATAAAACTCAATGAACAAAATAAACTACCTTACTCCCTCACTCAAGTGTTGATCTTCACATTTCATTTGATATACAGTCTACTGTAGATCCGGCCAACTTCGCCGATTTCGTATAGTCAGGTGTTGGTTTGAGTGAAGAAGTAATCCACACACCCAAGTCCTTCTGACTGTCAACATTTTGCAGTGGTGTACCGTTTAAGTAGCGAAATTTCGGACTGGAGGTTCTACAGCTGCCAAGTTAAAGAAAGTTGCATTTACTAACCTTGAAAGGCATAAGTCAGTACCCTGACCAGTCCTCCAGCCTGGTCAAGTTTGTTTACAGATGGTTTTCATGTGGCGTATTTTGAGCAACTTTTCAAAATTCTATCTCGTCAACGACTAGGGTGACATTACAGTCTAAGTCTCTGACACGGTCGTTGATGAAAACAAGGAATAACTTTGGGCCAAAAACCTAGCCTTATGGGATGACATTCATCGCGTTTGCCCCTGAGGACTGCTGGCATCTGACTTGTACTCATTGGCACCGTCCGGTCAAAACGTGTCGAATTCACGCGAAGAGGTTCCCGTGAACTCCTACTTTGCGCATTTTATGCAGAAAACGTTGGTGAGCGCGCTGTCGAAGGCCTGCAGCATTTTGCCTTCGTCACGTGCTTTAGTCCGGCGTTCAAGTTAGAATAACAGATTCATAAGGCGGGACCTACCACTGCAAAAGTTGCGTTGGGCGTCGGAAAGGAGGTGATAGTACTTGAGGAACTGCATCAGAACATTATTGGCGATTTTCTCCAGAGGTAAGACTCGCCGGCCTATACTTATTCGCAGACGCCGGATTTCTAATCTTGGTTGCGGACTTCCAATTAGGGCCTACAGTCCAGTATGAACCGACGTGACCTATCCATGCCGCTACTGTTCAGCGCGAACAAAACGTAGACGACAGGTCAGGTATGAAGATATGTGCGACTAGTAAGAACAATATAGAGCGCATTCTAATCCTCGTATTTCATTGCTGTTGACAAGGATTAAATATTAAAACAGCTATCGGTCATCAAGACATATTTATCTATCAGTACGTCTTTTCTAGCTTGCTGCTGTCATTTTTTCAAGCTAAATTCCAAACGCAATTTAGGGCATGAATTTTCTGCACAAGTTCTTCGTGAAAGTGCATGGAAAGCTTAAATCTA